TATATATATATAAAATGTATGCAGTAGAACAGAACATGCATACTTTGATAATTTACTGTAACACTGTGTGGAAACAGCAGTTTCTCTTAATTTGAACTAACTTTACCTTGTACAGGCAACAGTACACTGAACCAGATCATTCCTTCCCCACTGTCAAGGTAACTGTGCTTCCTCACCCTTTCCCAAACCATGGATCAGCAGAGTGTGGCTGCAGCAGCAGCGACAGCCTTGATTACCATCTTGGTAGAGGGACTGTACACCTGCAAGTTTGATATCACTTGCTTATTGTATTGCACCTTAGTGACAAGATGTAGTTTTGGAAGGTGAGCTTTATTTATGTCTGGGATTCTAACCTGTGTTAGAAGCATCCTGCAATCCACATCCTCCCAGCCCCCAGGCTCCCTGCTATCCTCCCAGCACAGCAACACCCCCAATACTCACAAGGCCTTTTCTAACAACCTGTCCCCTATATTTAAAAGCACAGACTCTGCTTGTCTTGTTATATACTGCATATCACCATTAAGAAAAAACAATACATGCAAACAATGCAAGTGTGCCAGAAACCAAATATTTGACTACTCTAAATTATCGCAAAACATGAGGCAATATGAAGCCATTTCTAGAGCTGTCTATTCCAGAGGCCTCACAAATTCAGGAGCAGAACTACATTAACCACATGATCCAATGCCCAATGGAAAGACTCCAACGACTTCTTCATGCTTTGCATCCGAGCTTAGCTGGGATCTTGTCAGAAACCTTCTGGTCTTGGGGTGCCTATTTGCTCTTTTAGGAGGAGTCAGGGATGGGGCCATACATGTTCTAGACAGTCATGCACACTAAAAATGATCCATGTTCTGCAAGTCTTATTCTTTGCCCTTTATTCCTCTCTAGCAACCAAATAATTCCTTTGAATATCAATCCCCAGGTGCTGATGTTTAACAAGAGGTAGAAAATAGATTACCTAGGACAGTGGGAAAGCCATTCAGATCTTGTGACATTACTGTAAGAAGGTAGGTGCTAAAATGGTGTGTCTAATCATTTTCCTTCACTATGTCCTTGGGACTCTGTGGGAACTCTGCTTCCAGCCCTTTCAAATGAAATACACATAATAGGTCCATTTTGGGAATATTGGAAATTTCTGAGAACACTGTCCCAATATTTCCAAATGATTCTGTTTAGAATCATACACATTATCATCCAAATTCCAGTGTAAGGGGTAAGTTCTTCTTCTGCTCATTCCCACTGGGAGCTGCAAGTATATAACTAAGGGGAGATTTTGAATCCACCCACATAATTCAGATGTTGGTTGTTGCTATTGTATCCAGATATACTTCTAGTGACAGCTCATAGCAAAAAATTGCTAATACGTAAGCATGATAGGTGAGGAAACATTTATGTCCATAACATAATTTAGAAGGTAGGGAAGTGCAAATCTACCTTGCCTTCTACTTCAGACTAACACAGTTAACTACATCTCTCTAGTCATAACATAAATTTAACCACAATAAAATTTAGAAGCTATACCTATCTATTACATTTAGACATACTTCTGCAGCAGGTTAATTTTGGCTAAGACTACTCAGTGCCTATATTAAGTGCAATCTGGATCTGATCCAAACACCATGAAAGTCCATAAAGACATTCCTATTGACCTGAGTGGGCTTTATAGCAATGCCTAATGGCTACAGCAGTGACATTAATGTGACTAGATAGAAGATGTCTAAATTACAAATTATTATTTATATAAATTTATATAAATTTGCTCATTCATTAAAATTCCACAGCCTTTAAAAAGTTATAACACTGAGCATAAACAGAGACCTGCTGTAAGATTTTTTTTTATAAAAAAGGTATCGAACTATCCTAAGACATGACAAGTTTCCTCATTCAAGTGTAGGGTATTTGCTCTATAAAGTGGAGAAATGGAATTTAGAAGGCAGCTCCCAGCACAGATATAACCCTTCAGGTCCTATAAATGTATATATTTAATTTAGTAGCAGGATGCAGAAACATAGACCTTTCCTGTGGTGCAGATCCCTTCATACCATGCTATGATGGATTACAGCTCCTGCAGTGATAAATATACAACGAAAAGCCAACAACAGGAATACTTACTGGTTTAGTGCAGGCCACGCTAAAGAGACACAAGCATAAAAGAACACGTTTCATCTTCCTAGGGACAAAGTACAATACATTATTGAGACATGTTTTTGTCTTAAATATAAATAGCTATATTCCATAACAGTAGAAATGTTCCTTATTAAAACCTCAAAATATTGCCCATGTAAGTTTTGGGGGCTGGGATGGGCTGAGGGAAGTCAACTCACTAATTTTACTCCTAACTGGCTTCATCCAATTTAATTCTTCCAAAATGTGCAGTGAATCATCAGCACTATAAGTAGCTTCTGTAGGTGATTTATAATTACTTCCACAGAAGTAGGCCATTTACTGGGAAAGGACTGGATGCCTTAGAACTAGCAATGGGGACATGAAGTCTTTCCCCTCTGGGTCTAATCCAGGTTAGTAGTGACCCAAAGCTGTTCAATTTTGGAGCCGTTCAATAGCAGACAATTTACCTAGTCATTCTTTGTGTGCTCTGACCCTTGGTGCAGAGCCCATGGAAGTCCCATCTCTCATAGTGGAGCCTATAATAACAAAAATTATTATTTAAGTATAAAATATAATGTGGGTATATTTTTATGTGAAATAAGTCTATATGTCAGTTTAATATTATACAGCAAAGTAAGTTCTGTGTCTGTTATCTGGGGTATTAGTACATTCCTTGCAAAAGATCATTTTTATCAGAGAGGTACTGAGGGATGATCATAATAAATCAGCACAGTGATATTTTTGTAGGGAGAGAACTATTATCATAACTGAAACAATGAATTTCACATGTGCTTCATTATCATTCCAAATCTCTAAATTAATCTACTTCAAAAAGATTTCATTGATACTATGCTGAGTGTTGTTAGATCAATAATAATAACAGCCAAACATTAAGTGTATATGAAAGTGTAAACAGAAAGACAAATAATTTATGTTCATTAATAATTGTTAAGATAGTCCCTTTGTCTTGCCTGGTCATTGATTATAAAGGCTTCTGAAGGGCTCACCCTTAATTTTGATTATGTTACTTCATTTATATAAAACACCTGAAGGAATTCACACACTAACTCTTGCTCCAAGGTTTTCTATAGATTATGTTCTGTTTGGCATGCATTAAGCAGAAAACTATACACAGGTTAGTTTAAATTCAGCTTCTACTTATCACCTTAAGTCTGCTAATCAATAGATTTGTGCATTTACAGAATGAGACAGAGAAGAGTTATTCTACTAGGGAAAAATATTAAATGTTAAAAGGCAACAAGGAGGTGGGACAAGGGAATTACCTTTTATCTTCAGAATGCAAGATCTCATCAGCAGATTTTGTAGGCTTTGTGCACTTTCCTGAAATTTAAAGTTTGTTATAATGCTAAATAGCCAATCAGCTCTTACTACCTGAGCAATAGCAAACAATTTGTCAGAGCTGGAAGTGCCCACTGCTAACTAGGGGGAGTAATTTTAATCTAAAAATGTTTTTGTGGTGGAAGGCAGTTATCAAATGTTCCATCTAGTTAAATAAACAAAAAGTCCAATATATAAATAGCCGTTCTCCAGCTTAAATTGTTCAATAAGTAGCATCGATTTTAGGACTTGTTCTTCCACTTAGGTTGTTAACAAGGGGGATGCAACAACTTTAGCACATTTACCATGGCAGTTACATGAAGTCAAAGACAAAGGAGTGATGTCAAGTAGTCAAGACAGTTGACTGAGCCTAGTCTCCATTCTGCTCACAACTTTGATACAGATGTGCAGTGTTTGGTTTGGATAATACCACTTTACATTCGGGGCTTCCCTTTCCTAATCTGTAAAGAGGGTCTAATATTTGACTTTTCTTAGAGTGCTATTTGAAAGCTGAATTAATCAAGCTCTCAACCCATTGAGATTCTGAGATGAAAGACTATATATAAAGATTAAAAAGCTGTGTAAAATTCGACATGCTGTTTTGCAGTTTCACTTGAAAATGCTTTCCATTCTCAGAAATTCAACATTGCAAGGGATGGTAGCTTGGGCACACTTCTATTAACAGCCCACTATTTCTGATGCAGTAATCGGCCACTGTGAATATATTTATGCCTAAGGGGCAAGGAACAAACTGTACAAACAGTGGAACCCTTAAGAAATAAGGATAACGTTTATCTACAAATATCCCTAGTAATAGAAGTGATGGGAACAACCAACCAAACAGGAAATGCTGTATACGACACTTAATCAAAGTAGCTTCTAAACAGGTTGTTTTAAAATTGCTTTCCTGAGGTATCAGCAAGTCTTTAATAGAGTTGACATTGACAAAAACAGGAAATGTAGAAGGCTTGCCACTGACTGAAGCTGTTATTGGTAAAGGCTGGGTTTTTTTTCATACCTTGGCTCTCTACCCTGTACAAATGTTGACTAATAACTACCATGTTTCAGAGGTGGTGGTTGTAGCCATGTTGGTCTAAGGACAGTCAGACAAGATTCTTTGGGTAAATCTGATATCTTTTATTAGACCAAAAAAATAGTTGGAAAATTGATCACTTTTCCTCTGCCTAAAGAAGGGTGTTTGTACCTGAAAGCTTTCAAAAGAGAATTTTTCAAACTATTTACCTAAGGAACCTTGTCTGACTAATAACTACAACCCTCATCACCGAGTCTAACTTGCAATCAAATGGGCATATCTTGCCTAGAAAAACTGTCACTCCCTTATCACACCAAGATACCCAAAGACAGAAATCTGCATCTTTATACTTTTACACTCCATCATGCCTAGAGATGTTATGGTTTTCCTCAGAAAGCACCTTTATGACGACATCACTACCTAATGTATCAGTTGGCTAGCTTAATGTAAGAGTGAGGTTGACTGCCACAGATGCTGCCAGGCTAAACAAATCAGCTGGGGGATATTATCTAGTGTCTTAAATTTTTTCAGACTTGGAAAGCAAATATGAATTTTGAGTTTCCTCTTGATTGTGAAATAGCCTCTCCATACCGGATGCAAAGCATAAACTCCGCCCTCCTTCAAACCCTTCCACCCCACCATGATGTCTAAGGGAAACTTCCAATTGATAATAGTCAGTAGGGATGTCTGACACACTCCATTTATTTTATGTATGAACCAATTGAAAAGACATTTAGCTGTGCTCAGACCTGATCTTCCTAAAGATATGTTCTTAGTATTCCTTCTCTAACCTTCTCTCCTGATTGGCTGTTACAGTCACTTGCATTTTGTCTTAACTAGATTATAAACTTTTTGGGCACACCCACACATGCAAGCACATGCATTTGCAGCAGCTCAAATAGAAGTGGTACAAATTTGAGCTGGGGCTTTTTGCCTCAATGCATGTACCCAGACATGCACTTTGGTGTGGAACAAATTGTGCCACTTGGAGCAAAATAACCCTGCCTGCCTCCTCCCAGATCTGCAGCCCAGGAGAGCTAGAACCCAGGGCCAGCACCTGTGCTAGCCCTACCAGTGTAAAAAACTGCCCTGGTAAGCAGCTCAGGGCTAGTTGCTCACAGGAGCTTCTGAGGGAGGAGCCTCTGGAAGGAAGCTGGCTATTTCTCTTCCTGTCCCAGGCTGTTGCTGTTGCTGCAGGCTTGGTCTCAGAAACTTCTGGGGAGAAGATGGCCAGGCCCTTTCCTGCCTCTGGCTACTGCTAGCTGCTGGCCTAGTCTCAGAGCTTTTGTGGGTAAGTTGGCTGCATCCCTTCCTGCCTTGGGCTGCTGCTGCTGCCCACCCATGGGAGGGGCTCCTCTGCTGCATGCTGCTGTCCCCCTTGGGGAGGAACCCATTCTGCTGCACTGCACTGCACCCCAGCACTGTACTCTAGCTTCTGTACCCCTGTTCTGGCCTGCTGCCCAACCTGCCACCAAGCTGCAGTTGGGGGACAGTCTGGGGAGGGATCCTGTACTGCCTGTAGGCCCCTCCCCCACCATCCCTGCTGGAACCTAAATGTCCCTTGGCTGCCTTGGCAGGCCAGCCCCCACCTTTACCTTCACCTCCACTTTCACCTGAAGTACACCCTGAGTGGCTGAACAGGACAGCTACTACCACTACTGCTGCTGCTGGTGCTGCTGTTCTGTTGCTTCCCACTCTCAGGAGAGAGGGAGATTCCCTGCTGTACCACCTTGCACCATCTGACACCACACCTGCACTGGACTATACCCTAATTGACTGCATGCTCCTGCCCTTTTCCATGGCTGCCTCACTGCCTCTGATCCTGCCTTGTTTTTCCTGCCTATTGCTCTAGTGCTGAGAGCCTGGCTGGAGGCCTAAGGGCTTTCTGGACTGATGTTCAATAAACAAAGCCCCTCCAGTGCTCCAGCTATCTCTTACATCTGCCTCAGCAGCCTTCCCTTTGTGTTTTTGACCTTGTGTGGTAAGTCCTGTGGTCCACGTCCCCTGCCGTGGTGTTTGTGTGGCTGAGTAAGCCAGTTCAAGTTTCCCCAGTGTGTGTGTGTCCTCCCTGACATTTTCCAAGTATAGCCCTCCCAGTTTTTTTTTTTTTTTTTTTTTTTTTTCCTTTGGGGCTGTAGCTCAGTGAGCTTCAGCCCCCTTCTTCCCTGCCCCTATTAGATTCACCAGCCCCACTGGATACTTTGGTTTTCTTTATTGTCTTCCCCACCCTCATGTGAAACAATGACAGGGCAGGAAACTTCTGGGGGAGCAGATGCCCCCACAAAACTTCCTCCAGCTCCCACTATGGGTGGCAGATCCCAGCCAAGCCCTCAAGGGGATGCATGCTCCTCAAGCCCCAACCCTGGAGATAGTCTGACCAACCTCCTCCTGGGGGTGGAGAAGCCTGCAACCTCCACTACAGGAGCAGGCGGGACTCCAGCGGGGAGCCAACAGGGCCAGGGGGTCTCCCCTGGCCAGCCCTGGAGTGGTTCCCAAGTCACCTCTCCTGTCATCAGGGACCAAGGGCAATGGGAAGGGCTCCTCTTCAGCCTTCTCCTTAGCTGGGGGTGGGAAGGGCAAGGGCCCTGCCCCCAAGCCTAGACCAGCAGCACCTGAGGGGACCAGGTGCACTATACCAGCCAGCACACCCACTCAGCCTGGCCCTGGCCCTAGCCCCAGCCCCAGCCACACCAACACAGTCCCCTGGTGGGGGAACCACAGCTATGCACAGGCAGCTGTGGGGCAACCCAAAGCTAGGGGGCCTGGACCCCTGCACAGAGTGAAGTGCCAACTACTCAAGAAAGAACCTACACTTCGAGACCTGGGTGCAAGCCCTGGCTCCAGCAGTGGGTGCCCCCAAGATTGTGGCAGCCTCCCCGCTTTCATGGCCAGGTGTTTTTTCCTTGCCTCGGAGGCCACTGCACAAAAGGTGGTGGAGAGGGGCCTCATGGTGGAGGGTGAGTACATCCCCCTCAGTCCCCTAAAAGAGCTGGGGACCAGGGTGGACCTCCCTCCCTATATCCCTAATTGGGCTGTGCTCCTTCAGCTCCAAACCCTGGGGAGAGTTATCTCTCACTAGAGTGCTGAGAACCTGGCTTCTGCCATGCGTGCTCTTTCCATCACCTGAAGGGTGCCTTGTGATTCCTTTTCAGGGGGCCCTGGTGTGGGTTTTCTGTACACTAGGGGACCTGTGATGCTTCTGGTGCTGTGCCCCAGAGCACTTGCATCACAAGTGCCCCATGGGCCAGCAGGAGAAGGCATCTGCAGGTCCCACTGGTGAGAGGGGTGCCCCTGCCACTGATACCTCTCTACCATCAGGCCCCTCTGGCATCTCAGCCACATCATCCAGCCCCCCTCTGAGTTCAGGACACCCTTCCCCCAAACCAAGTTTGGCAGGGTTCTGGGGAGGGCAGCAGCAGCCAAGGAGAAAGAGGGAGCAGGGCTGTCATTCCCCTATGGTAGCTGCCCTACCCCTCCAGCCCTCATCTCCTACTGGAGCCTGTCCACCTGAGGACCACCCCATGGCTGAGTGGGTGCAGGTCCCCTCTGGGCGCAAAGCCGAAAGGAAGGCCCAGGCACAGCTGGAGCCCACTGATGTGAAGGACTCCTGCCCCACTTCCAAAAACACCACATGGGGGGAGGGGGAAGGAGCGGCCCAGCTTCTAGGGGCCTCCCCAGCTGCGCTTGATACCCCACCCCTGGGAAAGATCAAATGAGAGATCCCCCTGGAGGAGGTTTCAGGGCTGCTGGAAAGCCCTGAACAGGAGCCCATGGAGGAGGCCACTCAGTCCACTGGCCAAGGCCTGTCCCCTGAGACCATGGGTGCCAAGGCTGAGGTTGAGAACAACCCAATGGAGGGCTCCACAGATGGACCTTTCCCCTCCAATGATCTTGGGGGGGCAGTCCTGGGGCTCACCCTGGTGAGTTCTGAGGGGGGAAGTCCCAGGACCTGAAGATGGGCACTAATATCAACCTGGGTCCTGACGAGTCTCCTCTTCCC